CAAATAAAGCTCGTGGTGATTTTTTATTGTATTTTGTAGTTTATTCAATGTATTTTCGTTATACGATGGAAGAAAACATAGATTTGTTAATTTTATAAGCAAGAGGAGGCAGGCCCACACTGGATCTTTCACTGGTACCAGCTCTCCAACTAATAATGGTAAATGATGTAAAAAGCACTGCATTTCACTAGCAGACATTTTTAGCTTATTGCTGTTTAGGTTTTTCACTGTAATAGAAACAGATTTATTACCATAATCAGAACGATGATATTGAAAGTTTGCTTTTCGGTTGTTTAAAATTGATAATGTAAAATATTTTTTATCATATACAAAGCAATTTAAAATTTGACAAAGTTCTACGTGGCAAATCCCCTCAAAAATGTCATGCATTATGTCTACCGATATGTTGTCTGCGGCACGAAACGATGGTATAGCATTGAATACACACATTTCCTTGATTCCTGTTTGAGATACATCATTTTGAAATAAATGTTGCCAATAGTCTTCTGCCGTCCTTAAGACAAGTTTGTTTTCTACCGTTTGTTTTTTCATTTCATCTTTGTGAGATCGACAAATTCTGCAAAAAAAGTTTGCAGAAAAAGACCGTGTAAACCCCATTATAGTATTTAAGCCTAAATTGTCTCCTACTAGAGCAGATAAAATTAAATATACGCGTTTAGGTTTGGAATTAATAGTAATTTGTATACCATTTTCCTCTAAATTTTTTAAAAGAGAGCAAAGAGGTCCAAAATTTTTAGCCAAGCCAAATTCTAAACTTGATGACCGTGTAAGACACGCTACAAAAATGTTATTCAATTTAGAAATATCTTCAGAATTTAATAACGGAAAAGTAATATATACAGCTGAAAGTTTTTGAACTCCGCTTTTTGATCCCAATGGATTGTTGATTTCAAAGTCGTCTTGATATACTAAGTAAGGTATTACACATTTGTTATCAAATTTTAGATCAATTTTGTTTTTCCAAACGCTACCACTGCATATGTTAGTAATTTCGCTTTGATTATTAACTTTTTCCAAATTTGTTTGCATTGATTGAAAAACTTTTGGAGATTCTAAAAATCTTCTTATATTATCTTCTAGAGGCAACAATATACCTTTCGAAATGTTCAACATTTCGTCTGGCGTGCAACTATTGTTTATTATAAATTCCATAGGCTCAGAATACAAGTCGTTTTTTGAAAGATATTGTTTTAATTTATATTCCGATTTAAACATATCAAATAAATTTGTAATTTTTTTCAAGACATTGATCATTAACTGAACGTCCTTACTGTCGGGGTTTGTTTTTTGTTTTATATAATCCATTAAAGGAAGTAGAATTAAATTTTGAATAAACTGTACTATTTGTATAACAGTTTTTCTATTTAAGGAGATGGTGCCAAAAAGATTAATAATAAAACCATTAATTTGGTTCATGATTTCATAATAATCATTTTCCAAATCAGCACAATTTAACATTGGCTGAGGTATATCTGCGCTATGATCTATGAGAGAACCTGCACATGATTCATTTAAAATATTGTTTACATTTTCGGTGGGTACAATGCTTATTTCTTGTTGTAATGGTCTATCTGGTTTATCTACTTTATGATCTTGGACACAACTTTTAAGGGCGTTTAAATGGTGGTTAATATGACGTTTAAATGAGTATAAAGACTGAAAGGATTGTGGGCAATCTGTACATGAAAATGTTGATAAAGTGTTTTTACACTTATGTACACTGAGAAAAATGGACCAAATAGGTTACTTTGCTGTGACGATCTATTTGTGGTTAATAGATTTTTGTTAATGGCAGCAAAATAACTAATAATGGTAAATTGCTCAACTATTAACAGCAGCAAAAACTATCCACTAAAGATCGTTTTGCTGCTACAAATAGTTAGTTTCTTGCGGTTAATAAAAAAATCGGTTAATCTATTTGCTGTAAGCAAGCTTCGATTTGGGACAAATAAATCGTATTACTACGATGTGGATGTTAGTGATAAGTTAGGTGTTCATTTACTGCAACTTAGCTCCTTTTAGCTACAAATAAAAAAGGTTGCTGCTACAAATAAATGAGTAAACTTATTTGCTTTATTATCATTTTAAGAGTGCGTGCTTTCTCAGTGTATGCAGGTAGTTCGTGGGTGTAACATATACAATACCTACAGCTGTGAGTTCGTGTGAATTACGTACCTACTTGTTTTGTTACAATTAGCTTACCGTAATATAAATGGATTATAAGAAACTATTGGAAGCGTGGGGTATGAGTAATTACATAGAAGCCTTCGAAGGTAAGTCAAAACTTTCTTTATTTATAAACAATCGTAAAAGTATGTTTTTTATGTATCTTCACAAAATATGATTAATATTCACTTCAAAGATTTGTTCCTTTCAATTTATGGCGATTTTCTTTTAAAATATAGTACTTACCTACGTAACTCATCATGCCGCTTAATTTTTTTATTCGACGTGCGCATTATCCTTGATACTTGATACTTTGACATATGCCTGGCAGAACCGCCTCTCCCAGAATTTAGTCAACTGTCGTGGGGATGTGCCCCTGGTAGAATCTAACAGGGTTGCATCTCCACAACTTTGTTTCCATTGCGCTGGGCCGCGACATATGCCACAATTAAAAATATAGAATGTTTGCCTCAGTTATTCGATTTTAAATTAATATTTGTCGATTATAATAGCCGTATACGCGCTTACCAAAACAACGGTATTACACATTTTTACTACCTACACTACACCCTACACCTTGATGTCAATACAGTTTTGCTTTGATCTGTAGATGATGGAATTGACGATGAGAGCTTTCCGATATTGGATTCCGAGACGATAGCGAAACTTTTCCCTAAAAGTGGACCACGATTGATATTTAAAAAGAAATACAATGAAATGTTTCCCACTCCTGCTACTTCAAAGGTATGGGTATAATGGGTATTATATACTCATTTTTTTTGTACTAAATCCCCTGACACATTCTCTGCAGCGCTCCGCAATTCATATGTTTTTTTTGGCAACCCTCAGCAGATTTTTATAACAGCCAAAGATAATAATACAATATCTTTGTAACAGCTTAGCTGATTAATAGTGGTAGCACCCATCTAGAGGAGCGCATACCTATACCAAATACACCAATATACAGGGTGTTACATATAAGTATGTAAAAAAAATTGGGTGGTAGAGGGGATCAAAACAAGCACTTTTTCCAAATAAATCGAGGGTCCAGCGCGCTTCGTTTGGGAGCTACCCCCAAAAAAGTGGTGATTTTTTTTGCATCCCCATTTAGGGGTAGCAATTTTTCAAAAATTTTTGCAAAATCGGAAAGGTCATACCCGAAAACCTATTCAAAGACGTGCCACCCGTCTTTGTAACTCTGGTTGCTGAGAAAAAAATTAAAGAAGAAATGCAAATTTCACCACTTTTTTGGGGGTAGCTTCCAAACGAAACGCGTTGAACCCTCGATTTATTTGAAAAAAGTGCTTGTTTTAGTTGTTTTGATCTCCTCTACCACCCAATTTTTTTTTACATACTTATATGTAACACCCTGTATATTTAAGGAACCCAAAATAAAGTATGAAATCACCTTTGATAGGATATGTGATATACACTAGTTCGAATTTTATGATTTCCTCCTTAATGTTAAAATATTATCAAAGGTGACTCGTCAATGCATTTTTGATTGCATTTTAATTTCCGACTTTTCTTGTTGCAGAGTTTTGAAGTAGAATCAAGTGATCTCTATAACTGCAGTACTCCAGCATCAGTGTCAACTTATACCACAAATGAGTCTATTATAACTGATCTAGATGTCAGTTTCGTTCCAGATCAAGAACTATTAGATGTAATAGAAAATATTGGTAATAAAGTCTCTGAAAAACGAAAGATTGACGATCCCTTGGATAATACCCCTTCCTGCAGTAAGAAGCAGCAAACTGGACTTGGAGATATAGATAGTGTTTTCCCGGAGGTTAGTATGTATACAACGTAATGTTACATTAAAAGGGTTAAGTCTTTAACTCTTTAATAGGTGTGTTTCTGTTAAGGTATTCGTTTATTCAAATACGACAATAGATTAGAATAGGTATATTATGATAACGACCCAAGTTTTTAAGAATTGCATTTTTATGAAAGTAACTTTGTTTTGTTGTCAAAGTATAATTAGGTATACCGCCCCTTGTTTGATATTTTAGTGCCAGTTTTAAAAATAAATTCCACGTTAATTGAAGAACCGAACATTAATTAATACTTAGACCATATGAACAAATTATATGATATGAAAATTAAAAATGGTTATTGTTACAGGGTTTGGAACGGGTACTACAAAAGTATACAGACGGGAAACTTGTCTTATTAAACCGAAACAAATTAACTAATGATTTACGACAGAAATTGGTAAAAGTGGCTGTAAATGAGCTTTTTGCCAACAAAGGATCAGAGTATGTATACTTACCCGTTTAATTATAACTAAGTACTTTTATTAATTTTTGAATTAAAATCTGTTAATATGTATATTTTTGTAATTACATATTACTATAACACACAAAACAACTTAATTTTCATGCAAAAAATTTTTAAATTATACTTCATTCAGTTAATTATACACTATAGTTTTGCACTTTTGTTTTACAAAAAAATATTACATATTCTGTTATTGAGGCATCATATGAATTTTGTGCCGTGAGGTTAAAGAGTTATCACTCATGCAGTGCAAAAAAAGAGTATAATTAATTGGTATAAGATGTAAAAATTTTATAAGTATGACATTTTTAGTATTAGAGGAAGTACGTTCATGAGAATTGCCGAAGAGATTACCATACTATTTCCTAATGAAAAGTCCGAAACATATTATATACCATATATAGTTACGGAAAAAAAAAAAGAGGGGCGTTGGTCCCAAAGGGAAACTATGGTCAAGGTACACAAACGTACGCACTGCACTTCGAAACGCAAATGCATTTAAAGAAAATGAAAATCCCAATAACCCGTCAGAACAAAGCCAAAGCCCAAATAAAGAATTACAGCTCGAGTTTTTAAAGACAGCTACCGAACCTTACCTGAAAATCTTGGCAAATTGGCAAGAAACTTATTCGTTGCGAAGAAAATTGTACCTTAATTCCAACTTGGAAACGATTTTCACAGACTTTCCATGTCTTAGGTTGAGTAGTGGCATTGAACTGGTAAGTAGGTACTTATATTTATTTTTTGCTACTATTTTAATTTTTTTTTCTCTGTTCAGATAGAAACAGATTTCAACCAAAAATTTCCTGATAAAATAGATATTATATATACAACATGGCCTAAAGTGATGAATGCAATTAATAAAGAGGCAGCGGAACGAAATATTTCAATAGCTGAAGTTGCAGGTGTGTTTACATTGAAATTTAAAATACAAACCTTAATGTTTTTATCCATAGATCCCAGTTTAAAAGCATTAATTACTTTACCATTCCTATTTCAACCTGTAACGTTGAAAAAAAATAGAAAAGGTGTTAGTTGGAGACCTACAAGGGTGGAAGTGCAGGAGAGCTTTTTTATGCGAATTTCTGTAAGTATACCTACCTACTATACAAGGGCGGTCATATGGGGCTGCCAAGAGGGAGCTATGGCCCCCCCCCCCAAGCCCAACTAAATCCTGTCATACTACGGTTATTCCCCAAGTTTCAACTTAATTCCGAATTTAGCACATTTTCACCTAAATGAGCAATTTTCTATCGTTTTCGTCTCACATCAGTAATCACATTTTTGAAAGCAGCCCCCTCCCCCCTCCTCTGAAGCTGGACATATGACCGCCTTTGCTACTATAGCTAACATTACATGGATATTTTTGTGGTATTTTTTGTTTGCTGTATTTGGCGCAGTTAAACTATCAACAATTTATTTTTAATTGCACATAATATTCCTGCAAAATATGGCTATAATTATATCTTTTCTTTTAGAATTTTGACGAATTACAAGAAAAAAGATCATCCAGACGTCAAAAATTGTCAACGTATGGTATATCGGACCAGCCATATGCTTGCGTAGCGGGGAATTTGGAGGCTGTAAACAACTTCTACATTGTCGTGGTAAATGATGTTGTTTACAAAGTAGACAGTAGCATTAGAGCTCTGGAATTATTATTTAAATTATACCACGCTTTGGATGTGGAGTATCCTGCAGAATCCGAGCATATTTGGCTATTTATCCAAGAGATTGTTTTTAATATAAAATCAAGTAAGTCAAGTCCTGCAACCACTGCGCTTATTACAGACGTACAATACCATATGTAAATAGTATTTTGTTTTTGTTTTTTTGTTAAATTTTTGTATGCGCGTTCTTAATTTTTTACATAATGCCAAAATGTAAGGTATGTTCAACAATATTTCAGAATATTAATTCACTTATAACTCATATGAGAATTCTACATAGGGCTCAAGACAATGATTCCTTTATTTGCGGTGAACCGTTGTGCAATAGAAATTTTTCATCGCTAAGAACTTATAGACAACATCTAAAAGTACATGTTGAATGCGTTCCCATTAATGAACGGAATACGACTGTGGACAATAGTATACTGGCAACAAATTTAGAAGTGCAATGTAACGATTCAAATACTAACGCAAGCATTATTTCTCAACAAATAAATCAACAGATTAATGACATTGAAAATAATCTTGAAAGTACCACTTTCCAAAACAGTTTTTTTGACTTTGCAGACATATTAAAAAAAAATAAGCTATTATTTCTATGCCAAATTTATAATGTAAACACCTTCAATAGGAAGGATGTAGATAACATTATGAATATGGTGTCAAATTTACTTTTAAAACCTCTTGACATGCTTAAAAAATTTTGCGTAAATCTTGATTCGCTGTCAGAACGAGATAAGTTTGAGTTCAAAAAGTATTTTAATGAATTTGAGAATATGTTTAGCAATTTTGAGAGTGACTACTTACGTCTGAAGTACTTAGAACAAGCAGGCTCGTTTGTACCCCCAACGCAACTTATCATTGGACAACATTTGGAGAAATCAGACCCAATTGCCAAAAATTATACAGCACAATTTATTTCATTAAAAGCTATACTACAAAAATTCTTTGCTTTAGATAATGTTTTAGATGACACTTTGACGTATATCAGTTCATTAGAAAAAAAATCAGGTGTATCTAACATAATACAGACAAAATTTTGGAAAGACAAGATTTCATGTTATGATGCACATGATATAGTTTTGCCACTGTTTTTATATTATGATGACTTTGAGGCGGGAAACCCTTTGGGATCACATGCTGGGGTGCATAAAATTGGAACCATTTATTTCTCCATTCCCTGTTTGCCTATATACTATCGAAGTCAGTTAGAGAATATATTTTTAACCCAATTATTTCATTCGTCAGATCTAAAGTCGTTTGGGGAGGCAGTAATGTTTTCAAAACTAGTAGACGAATTAAATGAACTCAAACGTCAAGGTATAAAAGTATCAACCCCTCAGCGTGAAGTACATTTGTATTTTTGTATGACTCTCATCCTAGGAGATAATTTAGGTCTAAATACTATCTTAGGGTTTCAGCAAAGCTTTGTGGCAAATTCTTTTTGTAGATTTTGCAAGTGTCTTCGCACAGAGACACAAAGTTTATTTGAAGAGAATTCCTCATTTCTAAGAAACGTACAAAATTATACAGCCGATGTAGCCGAATATAATGCATATTTAACCGGTGTAAAGTATTCAACCATTTTAAATAACGTCGACTCCTTTCATGTTACTTTGAATTTTTCTGCAGATTTGGCCCACGATATTTTTGAAGGTGTTGGTGTCTTTATCATGAGCCATTTATTATACGAGTTTGTTTTAGTCGATAAATTTTTTGATAATGATACATTGAACCATAAAATAGAATATTTTAATTTTAATAGAAATGACAACAAGCCTCCTGTAATATCTCTGGAATCAATAAAGAAGAAAATATTGAAAATGTCTGCTTCTGAAATGAAGTGCTTTATTTTAAACTTTTCACTTATGATGGCACATTTAATACCAGAAGGTAATAAACACTGGAATATTTATCTTCTGTTACGAGATGTTCTACACATTGCTCTAAGTTTACGTGTTACACCAGATCAACCAATAAAACTAAAATCATTAATTTACGAATTATGTTTTCAATTCAAGGACTTGTTTTCAGTATTACTAAAACCTAAATTTCATTTTTTGACACATTATCCTACAATTATGGAAAAGATTGGACCATTATCACAAACAAATACACTTAGGTATGAATCTAAACACAGACAATTGAAACTAGCTGCAAACGTCATTTCTTCAAGAGTGAATATTACCCGTTCATTAGCCATTAAACATCAGCTTCAATTGTCATTACGGTTTTCCTCAAATACTGGATTTACCAATTCAATTAATTATTCTAAGAGCTTTAAAAAGTACTCTAGTATCACCGATTTGTACAATAAAAAGTTTGCAAATCATTCAAACGTATCTGAAAATTTAAAAATGTTTGAAGATAACATAATAAGAGTTGGCAGAATCTCTACCAATAGCATAGCTTTTCAAGAAGGTGATATTATTCTTATCGATTTTCAGGATCAACCTACATTTGGCAAAATTAGGGATATTATTATTAACCAAAGTGAGAAGATATGTTTTATATGTGAATTGTTGCATACTATTGGTTTTAATCGTCACTTTTACGCTTTTGAAGTTGAACTTACTGATAGTGTGGCATTGACATATGGCAATGAATTAGAGTGTTATAATACGCATACAATAATAGTTAAAGAGAATAAGCAATTTATTTCATTATACTAACATTATAAAGAATTAAAAAAATTGTTGAATTCTATATATTATAGGTATATAGCGATGTAATGTATCTACTTGTAATTAACATTTTCTTCGTTCACCACACCACCATACTTTAGTTAAGTTATATAAAGTTAAGGTTTTTGTTGTAAAATATTGCTTATTATAGTCAGCAATAAAAAAGATTTACCCAATTTGAATTTTCATTTACCAATCACAATGGAAGTGACATTGTTAGGCGATACCTTTTATTTGAAACAGAATCACAAAGGAGCGCAATACATAGTACGAATATAGGTACCTAACTTTTAACTTGTATTAATTTAATGCTGCAACTGTTCACATTAAGAATCATGGTCCTGCAAGGTCTTAACAAAACTTCTAATTAGTATAAATAAGCAAGGTATTTACTATAAATAGATGCACTTGTTAACCTGAACAAAATGATATTATTACACGGAAAAAAAAAATTTCATAAATTGAGTACTTTCATTACTTTAACAGTATTCTCTTCGATAAAAATAATTACGTTTAAATCAAACATCGATTAGTTTACTTAAAGATACACGATTCTTCATAGGCAGTATGTGAAGTTCTTAAGATATGTTTTCACCTCAATGCTTTGTATTTTAAATGAACAACATGGAATGTGTGCAATAATTAAAGGGATTTGTTTTATATGTGGCAATATAACACGTTCATTTAAAACACCATGGCCTTAAATTGATGATGTGATACCTAACTTTAAGAATTCTAGAGCTTAATGCAAAATAATTACGGAACATAATTTTAGAGATCTATCAGTTAGCACTAAAACAATGAAATGCTTACTTTCAAAACATGTTTCATTCATGCTACACAATTGGTGTCTTTACTGCGACAAAATTGCTTATCTTAAGCAAAGTATAATTTAATTCAATATAAGGACTGCATATTTAATATTGTGCCCAAATGATTTATCTTAAGAAACGGATGATTTTGCATATAGTATATGGGAGTAAGATCTTACTGTCTTTAGATTTCGCAGGCGAGGCGTGCATTTCGTTTTTATACTTCGTAAGTAGAGTCAGTGAAGTCAAGTGTAATATTAAATAATTATTGAAAGTCACACGATGGATATCGACAACTTATTACGTCAATGGAGCATGCCAGATAGTATCATTGCTTCATTCAAAGGTAAGTACGTACCTACAATACCTATTTATAATCGTAAATAACTACCATCATGAAGGGCGGTAATTACAGTTCAACAGTCAGTTTCTAGCTTTTTCCTAGAATCAATGTTAGTACACACGTATTTCTTTATAACGCGCGATCAAAAATGAGTTGCTGTCGAGTCGCCTTTGGTAGTTCAAAGGCATCAGCTTGACAGTATAAGGACTCATTTTTGATTGCATTGTGTAGTTACCTGAGTACAATACAATACCAGCATTCTAAACAACTGTACTTTAGTTCTTCCTCGATTCTGCTTGTCATCACTTTTAATTTCCGAACTGCCCTAAATTTGTGCTTAAGGTACAATTTTGTTAACTGTTTTGAATCTTTAGAACACCTAATCGATGTAGATTTTTTGAAAACCCTTAATGGGAGGTTGGATTTGATAAAGGAGCTGATACCGCCTATTGGCTTACGACTACGCTTTCAACAAAAGTTGGCGGAATGGATAACTTGTATGGTAAGTTAACTTTTTTTTTGCATTTTGAAATAAGTTCTGTAACTTTAAACATAGCATAATTGTTTTTCAAAAAAATAAAAACTGCACTTTTTCGCTGTTGATGTCTGTCGTCTGTCTGTCTGCCTGAGTCACAAAGACTCCTGAACTACATCACTTAGAGACTCGGTATTGGTACCATTCGATCAGATATTAAAAATTAATTTCATGTTTTTATATCCTGGTAAAAGTGCACGAATTTTTTTGTAATTTTTGGTTAAGCTATACCTATTGATTACGCTATATTAAATCATAAATCGGCCATTTTGAAATAGCACACGTATAAGTTCGTATTATATGTATGCTATTTTATGATGGGGAGATAATCTTAATCAGAAACATTTACTTTCAAACCAAACTAATCTTATAAATTATAATAAACCCATAACATAACTTTCATACTGGTCATTTCAAAATTAACATGGTATTCAAATCTTTGATAACTATACCTAGTCTATAAATGGTATAGAATTAAAAAAACTTTAACGTAGGAAATTAGTGAAATGACCACGGATACCGAAACGGGATCAACACCCTCAACAAGTGATGAAATGCCTACTCCTTCAGCGTTACCTTGTGAGAAGCCATTGGAAATAATTGACGTGAACAATTTGAGCTTTGACTTATCTATCTTAACTGAAAGTATGATTCACGAATTCGACCTCAGAACTTTATTGACGACTTCTGCGCTAGGAAAGAGTGTATTGAAGTTTTATGATACATACCGAATGTTGAATGGCACCCAGCAAAATCGCTTAGTCGATATAATTGTTAAACACATTTACAACTACATTATCAGAAGGTACATTAATATTACTTTATTTCTGAATTGAGTTTTTATTTGCCTCGTATTATTCTAATTTAGCAACTAGCAGTTTTTATATAAATGCCCATTTAAATCGAAATCTAGTCAAATGGAAACTCAACTTACGCAGGGTGTTTCTTAATAACATACTATAATATTTAAGGGGTAGATTTTTGAGACCATTTTAATAAAAAAACTTCCTATGAACGTATGTTCAAAACGTCTTAACTTTTGAGATACAGGGTGTTAAAGTTTTAAGAAATATTGTCATTTTCTTTTCACTTTAAATATTTTTATGGAAATTGGTGACCGCGTTTATGTACGAAAGAGCATTTTTTGACTTAAAAACAAAATCTGTATATTACATCGTTTTTAATTCTAATTATGTAGTACCTAATTTCAAAACTGAAAACAGCGTACCTACAAATGAACGAATTTAATTTTTTTATGCGAAAAAGATGTGTCGTGCGAAAAAAGTTCAGAAATTAAATTTGTTCCAAATTTAAATCATTTTTATTTTAACAGGAAGCAGTGGCGTACCACTTTTTGCTCCAAAAATATCTAGTCCGAGTCCAGTACAGACGCCACTGTTGTAAAAAAATGTTTTTTTGGCAAAAAAATGCTCTTTTATGTATATATAAACGCCGTACACCAAATTTCATAAAAATTTGATATATGTAGTATGAAATTGATTTTTTATCTTTAACACTTTATCTCAAAGTTAAGACGTTTTGGAGATACGCTTATAGGAAGTTTTTTTCTTAGAATGGTCCCAAAAATCATCTCGTTAAATAGTAGCATGTTATTATTATATTTCAAAAATTGCATCGCAACATCAAGTAACTTCATACGTACGTTTTCTGTTTTTTAGTCCACTGACACATGGAGACTATAATAAAATTGTTTCTAAAATAATTAACTTATTCCCAAATGAGAATATGGGAACGTATTATGTACCACCTATATTGAAAGCTGATCACCCAGCCGGACGATCACAACGCTCAATGGGAAAACTACCAAACCGAGTGAGAAATATAAGATTTTTGTCGGGAGATACTAAAAAAAGAAAAACGGACCAACATGTAGAATCTGACGTTGAGGGCAATAATACTAAAAGGATACGATTGGATGGTAAGAGCTATTAAAATATTTGTTAATTTCTTTGCAACGGGTCAGTACCGAAACTTCAAGGACATACCTACTTTTTTGGGGTCAATATAAAACTTTTCCGCATCTTAAAAGTATACCCCTACCGTGCTACAGCCATCGCAAGATGCGTTTGGGCTTTTTTGAGATAAAAAATACAGTGTAAAAATTTTCCTGATATTTGATAGGAAACTGTCGTCAACAGTGCAAAACAATTTTTTTAAGCAACTTGCCATAGCTGTAGTGCGGAGGCCCGGAGGGGGTTAATATTGGAACATGTGTTTACAGGAAGAAATTTTTATTTTGACTTTAAAAGTATGATACTAAAATCCTAGTAGGTACCTACTGAATTTTGAAACACCTTGCACTGCGATCGTAATACATACCTTGCGAAAAAATAAAATCGGTTTTACGTAATGAAACTATGGTGCAGACCTGGTGCCACAGCTAGCTTTTAGTTTTGGTATAACTAAGTGTGCATTGAATAAAAACACTATTATTAATTATTCAATGGTGTTTTTACCTAAACGAAAACGCGGAGCGTTCAATTGAAATTCTATTGTCTGCAGATACAAATATTGACAACGATATAAAGGAAGATTGGCTGTGGCTGCGAACAAATTCGGAACCATGGGCTGTCGTTGTTGAAAAATGGCAAAAAACTTACCACTATAGGAAATCTAGTGGAAAAGGGACAGTCACGGAATTTTATGAAGACTGGCCAATTCTCAATGATCTAAGGGCCAATGCCCTGGTGAGTATAGAGGCTGTACATACTTTTTATTTAAGAAATGAAGGTTTTTAAAGCTTGCGTACAGCTATGTATGATACGAGTTTTTAACGCCCAGAATTGTTAGTTATTTACGAGATCATTTAGCTTTTCAAAATGTTTTAATATTTACATTTAAAATATTTTTTAGATTAACCTGGACTTTGAAAAGCAGTATCCCGAGCATCATCTAAATTTCCATTTACATTGGAAGAAGTTCATAGACGAGCTAATATTAAAACGTGGAAATCAATTGAGAGACCCTTACGCCATCGAATTAAAAGAATCCTTAACCGAGGGTGAGTTAGAATACCATACTAGCATGCCTAATGCAATAATGGGCATCAGTAATTTCGTAAGGAGCCTAAAGTGATACTAGGGATGTAATTTTGTAGTTGCCTCCAGTGCGTTTCAAGCCTTATATTTCATGAAATTAGTTGAGAAATGTCCCGTTTTATTGGTTTTTTTAAAATTTTTATTAAAAAAATTGACGTTTTAAGAAAAAAATAATAACATCCTAATTCAAGCCTCATACATCATTTCGATAAATATTCTTTTTCTAGGCGACAACATACCAACGGAATTAATATTACTAAATTACATTGTTCCGCCCACCGGAAAAATAAAAACCGGGAAAAAAATTTGGAAATTCTCAACATTAGAGAGCATCGAGGGCATTTTTTTGCACGTCAAGGTATTGCATTACTAATATAGGCTTAAGAAGTTACCACTTTTCATCTTTTTTAGGATCCAGGTAGCATTAACTTGGCAATTCAAAATAAAACTGAGGTGGCTTATCAAAAGGGCCGAAGAGTTCAGCCATACATTGTATTCGTTGGGCCCTCCTTATCGGAAATTTCGCACAACTACGTGGTAGTAGACAATATTAAATACAAATGTGAGTCTAGCGTACAGGCAGTGGACACACTGTTTAAACTTTTTCATGTTTGTAACATACACTACCCTCCCGAAAGTGAGCATATTTATCTAATCATACAAAAAGCTATATATAAAATCAATACTAATTTTGATAAACAGATTCCAAGCATAATGGAAATAGTTTCTTCTTAAAACGTTTTTTTTTGTATTATTGCGAAGTATTTTAAGTTACAGATGTAGACATGAAATGCCATATATGCCAAAAAGATTTCATTACAATCAATAAATACATTATTCACATAGAATTTGCACATGCATTTGTAAATAATTTTCGGTGCCCATTTCCAGAGTGTCATAGGTTCTACAACCAAAAATCTAGTTTCAGAAAGCATGTCAAGACTAAACATACAATTTTGCCCAACAAAGCTAACGAGCCAATACCTCGACAAACTTCAATGCCATTGCAATCCGAATGTCATACTGAAATTTCTTCAATTTTGAGTAACGTTGAAAAAACACAACATAAAACGCCTGATACACACTCTGAAACAAACAGCGTAAAGTACTTGGGAGAAAAGGTAAAACAATTTACGGTACTTTTAAATAGCACCGTAGAGAATTTTGTAGCAAAACTTTACTCCATGAAATCCATTAACCGTACTACAATTCAAATATTTATTGATTTAGTTGCTTGGTTTTTATCTTCGGGTATTGTAACCGGTTTAGAAGAGTGTTGCATTATTGCCTTGAAACCGTTAGAAAATCAGATTTTTACAGAAATAATTTCTAATATGTTCAAGACAATGGTAAATCCTTTCAAACATTTGAACACAGAGTATAAAAGAGTTCAATTTTTCCAAAAGTCAAATAAATTTGTTGCACCAGAACAGCAAATAATAGGCATTTCCCAAACTAATAAGCGAAAAAACAATAGTGTTGGTTTAGACCTAGTAAATAATTACAGTTGCTTTATACCGATGAGGAAAACGCTCACTTTATTTTTAGAGTTACCAGGAGTATTTGACGCAATTCTTGATTACCAAAAAAAAGTATCAAACAGTGACAATACAATTTTTTTTAACGTGGTTAATGGAAACCTGTGGAAAGAATTAAATAATAATCTAGATCGGGAAATTGTATTTCCTCTGGTCATATATTTTGATGATTTCGAAATTTTAAATCCTCTTGGTTCACATTCTGGATATTATAAAGTAGGAGCAGTGTATTACACTATACCAACAATACCACCAGCATATGCTTCCAGACTGGAAAATATATTTTTGGCATCCATTTTTTATAGTGACGATCGTACTAAATTCGGAAATGAAAAAATATTTCATAAAGTAATAGAAGAATTAAATTTTTTGAACAAATCAGGTATAACAATTAAAATAAATAACACGAATATAGGAGTAAAGTTTGTTTTAATCGCTATCAGCGGTGATAATCTTGGGTTAAATTCTATTTTAGGGTTTTTTGAGAGTTTTTCCGCAAATTTTTATTGCCGAGTATGTTACTGTACAAAAGATGAAATGAGAAGTAGTGTTGTAGAAAGTGAAAGTAAGATTCGAGATTTGAGAAACTATGAAACAGATGCTGTAGACAAAATTATCTTAAAAGAAGAATGCATTTGGAATAGGTTAAGTAATTTTCATGTTTATAAGAATATATACGCTGATATTATGCACGATTTATTTGAAGGTGTTCATAGATACGATATGTTGTTGATCATAAATGAACTGATTCGTAAAAATTATTTCACGCTGGAAACATTAAACTTTAGAATCAAATTTACAACATACAATAGCTTCGAAAAAAATATTCCACCTGGTTTTTCAAATGACCAACTAAAAAAGAATTTTATAATTCTATCAGCATCAGAGATGTTATGTTTAGTTAAAAACTTTCGATTTATTGTTGGTGACCTAATACCGGAGAAGGAAGAAGTGTGGGATTTGTACCTTCTTATACTAGAAATAACTGAAATTTTAATATCCCCTGTTATACAAGAAAAAACTTTAGATTATCTGAATAGTCTGATAAATGATCATCATACTCTATTTTTGAAAATATCAGAAACTCATCTAAAACCAAAATTCCATTTTCTCATTCATTATGCTAGAATTATAAGACAAATAGGCCCCTGTATGCTGTCATCGTGTATGAGGTACGAAGGTAAACATTCTGATTTTAAAAATATTTCTCAGAATGTTAAATGTCGACGAAATGTTCCTTATACTCTTTCATTAAAACATCAGTTGAAATTGTGTTCAAGATTTTTATCTGGGGAAGGTTTCGTAGACAATTTTGATATTGGTCTCTTAAATCCCGTGAACAGAGATAAATTCAAATACTCAATGGAATTAGATTTTGATCATTTCTACAGTGTAAAATTTTACGAAATTAATGGAATTAGATATGAGACTAAACTGATTGTTTTACTTGATTATAATGATGACATGCCTACATTTTGCCAGATTGAAGACATATTGATAAACAAATATGATTACAAAATAGTGAATTTTTATTGCATTCTCTGGTCTTGTATTGAGTATAATCCCCATTTTAGAGCTTATCAAATAGAAAAATTAAATCAGAAAAAATTCTACTCGATCAGTGATTTCAAAAATGAGATTCCAAACATTATTCATGTCATTTCGGGAACGAAGTTTTTTGGTTGTATTGCATGAAATCTTTTTGGCAGACAATCCGACTAGGCTAGCTGATATTTATACTAAAACTTTTTAAACTATGCATCTATTAAGTTCATTTGGTTATGTTATGTTTTATTTTCAGTAAAGAATGTATATATTTGTTTAGCATTTTTGTTATATTTTTAATACTGTTAAATCAGGAAATAAAAATATTTTATATTGAAACTCATGTTTTCTTCATTTCTTAAATTAAAATTGTAATTATCTTAAAACAAATCAATCGTCGTCTTTGGAGTTGGTGCGGAAGGGGAAATGAAATTATAATAATTTTAACATAAAGCAGTTGAGGTCTTCAACTAAGCTACAAATCCTTTCAAACGAAATGGTGAAATACTTAAACGCAGAACCTTAAGATTTCAATTTAACATTGCGCTTTCTGAAAATGATGAGACAAGTACCTCATTCTAAAGACACTAATTATATACAATAAAACAGTGCCGGTTATACAAATGGCCCCCATTTGCTTAAATAGATACAACATTAATTTGGGTTAAAACTATAGATCTATAGATTTAAGGAACTGTAAGTTTAAATCTAGACGGCTCAAGTTCAAGGAAAAGATATGAATGACTTGAGTAAGAAACAGGGTATTTTAATTGAACTAAAAGGATCTCTTCTCCTAAAATACTATGGAGAACACTGTAAAACCTGGCAGTCTTGGTATAAGTAATGCAGTACGCATAAGCTAAACGTTTAAGGTCTTTATTCCAAGAACAAAATTCTCACTCTATGTAAGTAGCAGTAAGCATTTCAGTTACTTAATTTCAGAAGATATTTCTTTGACTCATATTGAACTCAAGATGTCTTTAAGTAAAGGCTGTAGTCCATAATTCAATAAATTGTTTTTTTCCGTGTACAGGAAATAGTAAAACACTCATCATTAATGAAGTGTTTATTTCTCATAAGAAGCAATTAGTTTAGTAGATACAAATAGGTGCAATATTAACCGCAGCAATGTGTATTGTAATGGGAAATTTAAAAAATGCCTACCATTAATTGAATGTCTACTTGCCATAAATAAGCATATTATTTACTACAAATGGATGCCGTATTAATATCATTAATTGAATGTCTACTTGCCATAAATAAGCATATTATTTACTACAAATGGATGCCGTATTAATATCATTAATTGAATGTCTACTTGCCATAAATAAGCATATTATTTACTACAAATGGATGCCGTATTAATCGCAGCAAAATGATCTAATAACGGCAAATAACCAAATAGTTGCCGTTAATACAGCGTTTATTTCCCATACATGAGTAGCTTATTTACCGCAAATATAGTAGCAGTTTATATATTTACTACAAATAGATCACCTTATTTGCCACAAATAAACTTTTTGTAGAAGCAAATAAACGCATCTATTAGTGGCAATAAGTCTTTACAGCAAATAGGTGCATCATAGCAAAATGACTCTATTAGTAGCAAGTAGAGGGCTCATTTAAGACCTATTTAATGCAGAAATCTTACTGTGGCTAATATATTTTTGTTTACTGTTAATAGAAATTTTTCTCAGTGTACTAATTTTAAATGGTTCATATACACGCTTGCATTTTGAAATGTATTATTGCATAAAAAACATTTCATTTTAAGAACAATGATTTGACAAAAGAAGGACAGATCAACGAATCATTTCAGATATAACTGCATTTAGCGCTGTACTAATTTTAGTTAAATTGGGCAATTCATAAAAATAATTTTCAAAAAACTGCCACACTTGCATACATTCAGACGGATACTTTAGGTTAAAAACATGATATATCTGAAATGTAGTTGAAACAGCTTTTAAAAATGAACTGCATTCATATAAGACATCATTAATATATACATAAAAAGATACCAAATTATGAATAGAGTCACCTACCACAATGATGGTGGGTTGGAATGTCCTGTTTTGCGATTCTAATTCCGTTTTTCGTTTTTCTATGTAAGTTTGTACATACGTTTTATCCTGTAATACAAAAATGTCAAATAAAGATAAAACTCAAAAATTACCTTACCGTAACGTGAACTGCAAAAGAATTTTGAGCATCCAAAATAGATGGTCTATATGGTTTTTCTTTCCCCTTTTTTATTATATGAGGAATAAATAAAGCATTTAAATTTATGCACAGTATGTAATGTTTAGAATCTAAAAGTAATTCTTTTAATTACTTGTATAAATTAAAAGTTGTATACAAACCTTCATTAACTGTCGGAGATTCTAAATAATCTAATAATAATTTGCATCTTTTGTCTTTAATATCTCGTAAGTATATAGGTTTAATTTTAATAGCAAATTGATCCCATTTTGCAAAGAGCAATGTGTTTTTGTCAGGATAAATTTTATTAAAGTCCAGTTCAATCTGTAAAAACAAGATTTTTTTAAACATTCAATTAAAAATTTAACTTACCAAAGAAACAGCAATTTCTTGCTTTAATATGGGCCATCTCTCAAAAATGTTAACATCTCCAGCAATATCTTTCTTACG